ATGAATGTTGAAATCCATGTAGCTTCTAAACCAGTAGAGTTATGAGGTTGGTTCCCATGGGTGATTGGTTTTTATTTTGTCCAGAAATGGAGTTCTTGAGGTTTGTTTGGCCACATATTAGGGGGTATCAAATATGACCAAATCTACCATGATGTAATTGACACATTTTATAAAATCTACCCTTTTTAAAACATGTTTCTTCTTCACCCCATTAATGAAGAAATTTAGTTTTTAATAATTGAATGGTTTTTAATTTATTTGATACCTATTGAGTGGTTATGAAATAAAAGTAGATTTTTTTTGAATTTTCCATCCATAAATACAGGAAAAAAGACCACGCCAGATGGGGATGGGGATTTTGGCTTCCCCTTCCTCATTTGGTTGTTCAAGCCTCACCTATCCCAATTATCTAATTTTTTTTTTCACTCGAGTTGTTATCTCTGTGCATGAAACTTTGGAACTGTCAACAGACAAACCAAGGGTAGAGCTGTATGATTTTCTCAACTCATGCAACACAGTCATCAATTCAAAATCTTGGACAAAAGCGAGCCAAACTCTTCCTCGTCAATAATATGGGAAAATCTTTGGCTCATTGCAGAAAAATATCTTTTTCCTTTATTTCATCATTTCCTTATTTCTTTTATTTTCTGTTATTGTTTTGTTAATTTATCTCTATCTTTCCAAAAAACAAAACTCATTGAAAATCATTTGGGAAAAACCTTTAGTGTGGTAATTCCAAGGGACCAGCACACACAGAAGGACCTCAAGATGGGACAGCAACGGAAATATCAATTCAGATTCAGATTCAGTGCTCAAAACTACCCTAGTTCATTCCCTTCCAAGACACCAGAAATCTCAACACTTTTCAAGATAAACAGCTACAAACATTCATGGAGCAAATAAAACAAAGGGTCAGAACAGATTTTCAGCGCATACAATCATCAGGAACCAGGCCCAATCCTCTTTCACCATGGATCAGACAGATCTCTAGAAACAGCACAATTTCCCAGGAAAAATGAAAACAGAGCAGCACTTGACGCAGCAAGATGGGAAAGGATCCCAGATTGGTCAACAATCCTTAACAACACTCACACGTGGTAACCTGGATGACCCCAGAAACATCTACACACTCCCAGGACCCAAAGGAGCAGTCCACAGATATGAATACCCCTCCTCTCACTGCATCTTTACCATCATGAGATCTCCCCCATCTTATCATCAAATCTTCCTCCCCATGTCTCATCACATCCCATCAGAATCCCTCATTTTCTCAGCCTGCCTGATGCCAAGTATACTTCCTTCTAGCTACAGGAAGCAAAATGGAAATAGAACTTATGGAGGGGACTCCTGTGGGCAGTTCTGGACATATTAAAAGGTTTTGATGGGGAATATACAAATGATATTTAATTTTAAGAAAGCAAGGGATAAATAATAAGATAAAAATATCTTATTATTAATTTCTCAGAGTGGCCTGCAAGCAGGGGTTGTTTAAATCCCTCTCAAAGGTGTCTTTCTACGAGTTCAGGGTACTTTAGGTACCTTTGGAAAATGACTGGGGCCTGTGGGGACAGGGGTTGTTTTGATCCCAGGAGGAGAGAAAAAGGAGAGATTTCAGAGAAGTGTTATTTACTCACTAGTAAAGGGACTTCTCCGAAAGCTCCAAAGG